AATGTCTGATAGCCTTCAAGCTCCAGTGTATGGTGAAACATTGAAAATGTGGCAAGCCCCCAACCCCTCCCCCATCGCCAACAATTTGAGACCAGAATACTTATTAAAAAAATTTCTCTAGCATAACATTTTTTTTCTGTTTAAATTACTTTGCTTTTTTTTTTTATTTGCATCAGAGCTAAACGATGATAGATGATACCATCGTAGCTGGTTCAATTTGTTACTCTATGAAAGATATTTTTTGAGTCCATTGTTTCAGTGTTTGTAGTAAACTATGAGCTTAGAATGGTTTTGTTTGCTAATATTCTATCTCTTTTTTTTTCATCCAGAGTGATTCAATCAGAGCAATCTAAATCAAATTGTAGGTCATCTGATATGATCCTTTCACTTGAAAATGGGAGGGGGTATGGCTTAACTCAGCGCTGCACTTTCCAATATTCAATATAAAAATTTTCTATGGCAAATTTGCCAGCATTGATTGGTGTATTCATTTGCTATTGGCTTCTAGCTTTTGAATAGCCTACCTTCCTTCGTCCCTCCAATAGAATTTTGTTGCTACTTCTTTTTTTTTTCTCTGCATTGTGATAAAAGATGGTCAGATGTTGGAAGAATAAACTATAACAGCAAATTTGTGTGCAATACTTAATGTAGCTATACTCTGGGCTACATGTTTCCCCCAGCTAGTTTCGTTGAATGTAGAGATGACGTGTGTTCAGTTCAGTGTGGTTTTTGTATTTGATGTACTTTAGAGGAGAAACAGTTTTTAACTGCCATCCACTAGTAATTTGTATCAAAAGATTTTTTTGTTCTCAATTCATACTTTTTTGGACTTCATTTACATGTCAGAAACATTTCAAGTTTTCAGATTTTCTCTCCAATTATTGAATGAAATTGTTTTTGATCTTTTAATATTTGCTGGTAAGACGTGTTCATTGTTCTTTATCAAAGTGAGAGATTGAAAGGGCTATAAAAAAAAGGCTTATGTTTAAAGTCTTCAGTCTTATACTTTCTTTTATAAAGAGATATAAAGTATTGACACTTATGTAAATTCTTGCAAGTTTTTAGTATTTTTGTTTACAAGTTTCTACCTGCAGAATCAACTTTTATTACAACCTTACATGTTGTGTTTGGTTATGTACATCTTTCGATACCCGAACTTAACAAAAATGCTAATCTGTTGTTGTTTTTTCTTTACTTTCAAGAGAGGTCCTTTGTTTCTTCATGTCTTCTTTGTTTCTTCAGTCTTGAAATAAATGTTTTCGCAGGGAGTGAATGAAACAATTATCTTTGTAAAGAAACATGATGACTTCTGCTTTCATGATTAGTTAGGTGTACTTTGCATAATGGTGTACATGCTCCACACTGAACATGATTCAATATATACATGTCTTGGTTTTAATTTTTATAGATATATATATATATCACTTAAAATTTTGGTTGGTAGAATGAATGGCATGTTTCCTGAATGGAAAGAGTTCATAGAATATAGAAGAAAGTGTGAAGAGAACAAATCAAATGAATACTGATGAATGGCTCAGGTGACTGCTCTAACAATCAATTGCATTGCTCAACCCCCATGATTCTTCCAATTCAAAATAATTTTAAAAAATTCTTGCTTACCTTCTGCTCATTATCTTTGATTGTCTTATTTTATGAAGTAGTTATCTTTCTTGTCTTTTTTTTTTTATGAAAACCTTTCTTGCACCTTCTTAATTTGTTATCTATTTAGAGGATACACATAGTACAGAATAGGGTTAAGTCATCTAAAAATCAAATTTTGTAACAGTCAGATACTTTTCAATTGAACTTGTTTATAATCTGTTTTTTACTCCTATTTGTAAGAAAAATTACTCAAACATTATTATGTAAAAAAAATGTTTACAGTTGAGACTGTGCTACAAGGGATTGTAGGATTGTAGTTTCACAATTAATGTCAACTTGTCCTTTCCATCAAGAAATGTCTGTTATCCATTAAAGCTGTGCTACTCTTAAGCATCGTTATGTATTGAATACGACAAGTGTTCATTGGGTCCTCCAGCACAATTATTAATGACTGTTCTCCTAAGGAGATTATGCAGATTTCTAGCATCCCTTTTGGTGACAAAAAAAAAAGCTTCTGTTTTGCTTCCGACACCAATAGATGAAGAGTGACGCATTTTTGTTCCTTGCAATGTTTGTGTTTGTTTAGCATTCCCTTGTCGTGATATGAAAAGACAAAAAAGCCTATCAGTCGCAATGAAGAAAGAAAAAAAAGTAAGGAACCTTTGTTTTGAAAAATTAAATTGGGTTTCTAACAAATTATTGGTTTTCTGTGGCTTGTGCTCAAGTACGATATGGTGTACACCTTGCTGGTTTCTTGTTTTTAGTGTGCATGATTAGTAGAAAGAACATTTAAGACCTTGAAAGTATTACTGGATAATAACTGTGTTTGTATTTGTGTATTTTAGGCAAACATTCAATGATAATTATACTTTGTTGTTGAAGTTTTTTGTTTTTTTTTATGTTTTTGCAAATTAGCATGGCTATCCTGTAATTTTGCTTCAATTTTTTTTTTTTTTTTTTTTTTTTGCTGTTTGTAATTCATGTTTAATTTATTAAGTGTTGTTTTGTTGTTTTTTTATTATTTGCTTTCATTGCAAATATACCAGTTTTTTTTTCCAATCTGCAAAAAGAAAATTGATGGCTGGACCATTATAAATGGTTTTTATTCAGTAAGCTCATATAATGAATAGTATTTTTTAATTTTTTATTTTTTTTTGCCTTTGTTTTGTTTTTTTTATATTGATAGTGCTTAATTTTTATATTTTGTAAAATCACACGATCCTATTTAGTCAATTAAAGAAAAATGCATCAAAAGATCAGCCTTTTAAGATATAGAGAATCATTCAGTAAAAAACATAGAAATGAAACTTTGTTTTTAATTCATGTAAGGAAGAAAAAGGCTGGATTACATGTCACACATCTCTGACAATCATTGTAGAAGATAACTGAATTAATAACACAGGTAAGGTACATTAGTTGTGAATAACTTTTCAGCAATGCTTATTTAACATCATTTGGTATGTGATTGGAGAGATTTGAGCACACACTATAGTTATCACTGGTGTTTAGACTTAATTCTAGTGATCTGCCACTTCATAGAAGAGTATTCCCTCAAATCAATTTTTGTTTTAAATGTTGAACTATAATTTAAAAAATTGCATCTTAATTTAAAATAATAGGTTGTGTTCCATTGAACATTATCCACGAAATTTTTGTTTAAAAAAAAATGAGTTAACTAAATGATCAAAATCACTCAGTAAGGATTAAATATATGCAAATAAGAATTATTTTTTTCTTTTTCATGTATAAATTTGATTGAAACCAAACTACAGAATACAAAATTGTCTTTATGGTTTCATTGCACTCTGTCATGTTTTAGTTACTTTTTGTAAATTTAGTTTTTTTGAGTTAAAATCATACCAAACACTGTCAACTTTTTTTTTTATTGGAATTGTACTAATCCTAAAATTGCTTAACTTGATCATAGAGTTTAAATACGAAATGAAATTGTTTAGTAAGTGACTAGGTATCAGTGGTTATTTTGCTAATAGAAAATGCTTGTATTCCAAGTACAATAATTCCAGCAGTTTAAAACTATTCGGAAAACAGAAATCGCAAATGAAAGGCTTCTTTTGGTTATCAACTTTTTGTCAAGGGAATGTTACTCTTGGTTTCTGTACTAGGAGAAGAGCTTTTAAGAAAGGGAGCTTAAGATTTATTTATTTTTTAAAAATAATGAGGTGCACAGCTTGTTTGACTGCCTACCTTTATACATAGTAGAAAACACAATGTATTGTTTCAATGTAAAAGTAAGTGCATTGCTTTGTTTGAATTAGGTACCATTATCTCCCTTTTTATTTTTGTCATTTATTTCCTAAGTTAACTGCCAAAAGAAAAAAATGCTAAGTTTGCCAGAATCTGCTATGTACAAGTCCTACTAATTCTGCCTAGTGATGAAACATTGCTGGAATATGTGAATCATTTAGAGCTCTTTTTTTTTTTTAGGGAAAGTTGATTAAATGGGGGAAAAATCAGTATAGGCTGCAGACTAGCTGGCTGAGAGGATTTTGTGCTTTTTGTTCTATCAAGACATAGGCGAGGGGAAAAAAAGAGTCTATGTGTCTTTGAAACCCTCATCATCATCAAACACCATTTGAGTGAGATTTTAGAGGCACAAATCCTCTCTTGCAAAAGCCCTGGACAGAAACCCTGCTATCTTGAGTTTGAGTGTTTGGCACATCCGCACAAGTCATGCCATAATCCTTCGAGGATTATTCTCCCTTCATATCACCAGAGCTATTTTGTGCATACATGTCATCATACAGGTGGAGAATTTGATACCCTAACAATGTTTACCTCTCTTTTAAGCCCTCTAGTTTTGAATTACCCATAGTGAAATGCCCGGGCGATTAACTAGCTAACTTTATGTAAGGAAAAAAAACAATCTTTCATTCTCTTATGTATTGTGTTTCTAGAGGATCACTTTCTACATGATGCAATTGTTTTCTTTAGTAATTCATTGACCTGATAACTCAAGACACATTGTTGTTGTTGTGCACACACAGAGAAATCAGCCAAATATATATATACATTTAATTATTATTTTTTTTGCATGTACCTGTGTATAGTAAGCCAAAATTGTAAAATGTTGAAATCATGTTTGACTTCTCATCCAATTTTTGTTTTCTGTTCCTGTTTTCCTTGTTTTAATGTGACACATGCTCACTGCTTTGGATATACAGCAGCACAGTACACCCTTTACTCTTAGTATTCCAGCAACAACCAAAGGTGTCTAGAACTAGGTTAGAGGGAGTTCAAGACCAAAATAGAACACACACACACACACACAAAAAAGGGGGGGGGGGAGTCATTGTGTATTTTTGTATCCATTATAATGTCATTAACTGGTGTAACCATTGTCAACACTTACTTTAGGGAAATGTTGATAGGGCAAGTGTTTTGTAGGCTGTTTTTTTTTTTTTGTTTTTGTTTTGTTCATTTTTGCATTGCAGTCAACACTTACAGTTTTTTTCTCTATATATTTCAAAAAATGTGATAGGATCTGCTGTGTACGGCACTGTGTATACTTGCTGTACATACTGTCTATGTGTACTGCACTGTGTATACTTCTGTTTAGTATGTATATGTGTGGGGGGGTGTACTTAAGCTAGAAGGAATTCCTGGAGCTGTGAGCAGTTATGTTGTTTTGGGGTAGGGGCTAGCTACAGCTGTTAGGTTTCTGGGCGGCTACAGCTGTGCACTGACCACAATGTCTCCTTGCATTACGGATTTTCTCATGCGGAAATCAACAGTAGAAAATGTGTGCAAAGGAGTTGGGGAGGAAATCTTGAGCAACAAAAAGTCACAAATGTCCCTCACCAACACTTATTGCCTCCAAAGCACACATGCAGATGTTGAAGTTAGTCTTGACTGGGCTTGGGATCAGCCCTAGCTTGAAAAGCTTAGCACTGCATGCTTTCAGATTTCTGGTGCTAGCCATTGTTGAACTGTGTGGCAAAGTGTTGTGGTGCATGCCAAGACTTCTGTGTACAGTGCGGTCAGTGTCTCATAAGTACTAGCATTGCATATGGGCATGAACTCTGGTGACCCCCTCCTTTTTTTTTTATTGCCAGGCAGTCCTACTTACTGCTCCCCCCCCCCCCCCCTTCACATAAACAACAATCACTCCACCTTGGGCAGTGCAAACCCCCCCCCCCCCCCCCTGTATCACATCCAATCTTGTACATACCTGTATAATACTGTGAAATATGATCACGAGCCCCCACCACAATAATATTAAACAAATACTTTGCCTGCACAGAAATCTACACCGTTAGGAGCTGGCGGCTTTCCCTATACTATTTTTTTTTTTTTTTTGTATTTCTAAAGCCACTACTATTGAACTATGAATGTAATCTTTTGTTTTCTAAGGCTGTACATCACTACTTTTAGTTATCACTAAATTTTTTTTTTTTTTTTTTTTTTGTTATATCACTACATTTCAGTTCATGAGATGCATGAATTATTGGCAGACACACACAAAAAAATAAACAAAAAATATTTATATTTCAATACATTTCCCTTTTGTTGTTTATACTATGTGCCTTTACGTCAACTGCTCTGCAGATTGCACGGTCTGAAAGGGGTCCTGTATTTGTCTACGTTATGCTCCCCTTGTAATACATATCTATGTTGTCCTCTATGTATTTGTGATGTGAACTCTACTATTGCGACATTGAAGTTCCGTGGCTGAAGAAGATAAAAACATTGAAGTCTCATTTTTGTCTGGTTAAACTGAAATCTTTACTGGCGTTCCATCAACCCTGGAGTGTAACATGTCCCCAGACTGCACAGATTATACCATCGGTTCTCAACCTTTTAAGCTCAGGGACCCCTTTTTACAATCCCCCACTCTGCCGCGACCCCTCCCATACACACACACACTATTTTTTCAGACATCAACCTTGCAGCATCGCTCTGTACTCGCCCCCCCCCCCCCCCCCCCCCCAAAAAAAATCTATCGTTGATTTGTTTTTCTCATTGTTCATCTCATTTCTTGTTTTTTTTTCTTTTTATATACATATTTCCGTGGGGATATTAACAGCTTTCATAGATAAGTGCACAACTGTAGACTATAAGAATACAAATCCTCTTAAGCAAACGTTCCTTGCATGAAAGCAGTGATGAATTCCATGTACGTGTTTAGCGCAGTGTTTCTCAAACATTTACTTGGGATTGTCCCCTCTCCTTTTAGTCCGTTATTCATTTTCCTACATCGCACTACTAGCGAACCAGCTCAGCTATGTGACAGGGTCGGAGATCTGTGCTTCGAGTCCTCATCTGAGCGTATTAATATTTCACTACATTGTCTTTATCCTGTTTCTCTTTTCTTCTATATTACAGATCATTTATTTAGCACAGGGGTTCTCAACCTGTTGGTTGCAACCCTTTTGGGGGGTCGATTGACAAGTTGCCAGGGGTCGCCTAAGAAATTTGGATTTTTTTGTCTATCATCAATGGAAGTTTTTTTTGTTTGTTTGTTTGTTGTTGTTTTGGTCCATTCTTACGTGCTGTACCAAGCATATCTGAACCGTACCTGGTATTCGAACTATTTCCTATCCCGTTCTGTTTGACATTGTGTTCTTCCATTTCCAAGAACGAATCTTCGTGAAACAAGGTTTTCCAGCTTGTTAGTTAAGTGCAAATTCACTAGCAGACTTGATGCAGAAGATGACATTCGTTGTGCTACTGAATGTCCTGATCTGGTGGAACAGAAACAAGCTTAACCTTCGCACTACCATTGGCGTGTTTGTAAACACTGTCGAAACGCTAGTTTTGTAACAATGTTGTTTACTGTATCAAAGCTTCGCATTATTTTTAAAATTGTCACTTAATTATGCAACATGTATATTGTGAATAGGCAATAGAAACTTAAATAAATGCAAGTCTGAATAATAACATTTTTAATTTTAATAATGAGCACAAATTAAATTATCTGTAAAGGTTAAAAAAAAATTACCTAGTGGGAAAATTGTATTATGGGGTGGCGGAACTAAAAAGGTTGAGAACCACTGATTTAGCACTAAAGCTTTAAACTCCACACATGTTCCATGTGTCTCCTCTGTGCACTGTTTTCTCTATTGTTCAATGAAGAAACATCTGTATTCTCTCAAAACTTCTTTAATAAACTTCTTCAACTTTCACATACCGTATAAGTAACTTCTCAATTCAATAACAACTTGGCTTAATTCTTCATAAAATAAAACTTAATACAGCAATAACTTCAACTAATGTAACTTCATACTAACACAAGACCGTTACTAAACAAAGACTGTTACAATGCCAGGACCATCGCTTTACAAGAACAATTACTGTACGAGGACCCCGACTAACTAACTTTCCTCTAATTTATACTTTTCTTAATCGAACTTTCCAGAATCAAGGAAAATTCTCCCCTAATTATTTTATTAACTGTGACCGTCTAGAAGCCGACATATGCTATTTTTTTTCCCTCAACCTCTTTCTTTGATTGGACGAATACAATTAACTTTTTTACACTCGACAGCACTGAGTTGACCTGGGGCTTCTAGAAACTGGTCGAAATAGGTCACTATCTTATCTTATATAATACAGACGTTACTTCAAAAAAGAAGATGATTACGTCCTACGCGTCATGCATTTAGTCATGCATATTAACCAATGACTTAAATTCCGCCAAGTCACTGGTTTTCCTGGCTAGCTCAGGCAACCCATTCCATGCTCTAATAGCACTAGGGAAGAAGGAGTATTTGTACAAATTTGTCCTAGCATATGGGACGAGGAATGTGCCTTTATCTTTGTGTCTTTCAGAGTATTTTATTAAATTTTGTTTTTGTATTTGAAGATTATGGTTCAGTGTTTTATGTATAATTGCTACTTTACTTTTGAGTCTTCTGTCCTGAAGGCTTTCTAAATTTAGTGATTTTACTATAGGTGTTACTCTAGTCAAATGTGAATATTCATTTGTTATGAATCTCACTGCTCTATTTTGTGTCTGTTCCAGTTTCTTAATGTTTTCTTGAGTTGAGGGGTCCCAAACGGAGGATGCATATTCTATTATTGGCCTAACCAAGGTTAAATAACATTTTAGTTTTATGTTCTTATTTGATTTATAGAAATTTCTTTTAATAAATCCTAATGCTTTTATTTGATTTTTTTATAGTTTCATCAATATGTGGATTCCATGACAGTTTTTCATTTATTATAACACCTAGGTATTTTGCGTTTTTAGTCTGTGTTACTGGTTTGCCATGAATAAGGTAAGTGGAATTAATTTGTTTTGGTTTTTTTGTTACTCTTAACAACTGACATTTTTCTGGGTGGAAGACATGCTCCAATTTGATTCCCATTTCTGTAATTCATCTAATTCTCTTTGTAAAATATCTGTGTCTTGTGTTGTTTTTATTGTTCTATATATTATGCAATCGTCTGCAAATAATCTGACTTTTGTTCCTGAAGTAATGCAATTTGGTAAATCATTTATGTAAATTAAAAATAGTAGTGGACCCAAGACTGTTCCTTGAGGTACACCTGAGTTTACTGTTATCGGTGTTGATTTAGAGCCATTTATTATTACAGTTTGTTCTCTCCCTATCAGAAAATCTTTAATCCACTGATGCAGTGGACCATTAATGCCAAAATAATTTAATTTTTTAAGCAAACTATGGTGGTGAACTTTGTCAAAAGCCTTAGAAAAATCTAGTAAGATAGCATCTATTTGTTCACTATTATCTAAACCTTTAGGAAAATCATCAATTAGTTGTGTTTCACATGATCTATATTTCCTAAAGCCATGTTGGTATGGTGTGAGGACATTTTGTTTGTCTAAGTGGTTTATGATGTTGTTACATATTATGTGTTCTAGGATTTTACATGTGATGCTGGTAAGTGATACTGGTCTGTAGTTTCCTGGGTCAGATTTTTCTCCTTTTTTTAAATAGGGGGGTGACATTAGCTTCTTTCCAGTCCTTTGGTACTCTGCCCTGGTTAAGTGAAGCCTGAAAGAGTATTTTGAACACTGGGGCTAGCTCATTGCTTAGTTCTTTGAGTAATCTAGCTGGAATACCATCAGGTCCAGACGCTTTATTTGGTTTGGTGTTGGCTAATAGTTTTCGAATTGCATTTTCTTGTACTACTATATCTTCTATGTTGTCTACTTGGTTCAAATTCAGTAATATGTCTTTGTCTCCTGGGGCTGAGAATGCTGATGCAAAGTATTTGTTTAGTATGTTTGCTTTAGTTTATCATTATTATTATTATCATTATCTATTATGTTATGTTCATCTTTTAATGGCGCTATGCTTGTTGTTTCCATTTTCTTAGACTTAATGTATGACCATAGGTTTTTGTTGTTATCTTTAGATATTACATTGTTTATGTATTCACTCTGCAGCTGTGTGCTTACTTTTTGGGTTAAGTGTTTAATTTTTATATACTTTTTGTAAACTCTTTCTGCCTTAGTTTCTTTAAATTTTCTATAGAGATTTTCCTTCTGTTTACAAAGCTTCTTTAGTCTATTATTAAACCAGTATTTATTTATTTTGTTTGATGTGTATTTAGTTGGTATATGATTTTCTATAATGCTTTTAAGATGGTTTTTAATGAAATTCCAGAGGTCATCGACTGGTTGGTTAATGTCTTTTTCTAATAAGAATGTTTGTTGAAATTTTAATGCAGCTTGGTGTAGTTGTGTTAGGTTACATTTATTCCAGAGTAAGATTTTTCTTTTGGGTTTTGAATTGGCTACTGCTTTTATCTGACTGTGTATTTTTTTATCTCATGGTCTGATAGACCAGGGATAATATCATAAATCAACTACTAATCCAGGTCTGTTGGTTAAGAAGAGATCTAATGTGTTGTTTAATCTTGTGGGCTTTTTAATGATTTGATCTAAACTTAGGATGTGTAAAGTTTCTATGAAAAGCTCATTTATGTCCTTAAGGTTTTGGTGTTTATCTATGGTTAGTGTTTTCCAATTCATATCAGGTAGGTTGAAATCACCCATAATCCAAAAAACTGCATTTTTATTTGTCTCTTTAAGTGTAGTAATCTGATTACATAGTTCCTGCATGTATTCTAAACTAGAATTTGGTGGTCTGTAAATGCTGCCTATTATTAGGGATGT